ATCAAAATCTCTCCCCCTATCAAAGAGGGCCTTAGGCGCTTTTTACCACCCTGTAAGGGTAGTAATAACCTTTGCTGTCGAGGGCCACCACTGTCCTGGAAAGGGTAGTAACTAGTTAAGTGACGGGTAGACTTGTGACGCACCCTTCGCACTTCCAATGGCCGATGGCGGTGCGGGGACAAGAATGCCGCAGTGGTCGAAGAGGCTGCAATCGCTCCCACGCGTGCCGCCTGTCTGAGAACTATTCTTCAGTGGGACGACGGTGCCATAAGGTCCGAAGAAGGATCGGCTTGCTGACTGGACTGGATCTGGTTGCTTCTACTTGGGATGGGGGAAATCAGGGACTGGGGCGAACTCTTTGGGTCAAACCAACTGGCTGCGGCGGCCGACGCTGGCATATTAGAGAAACACGGAACGACAGTTTGCCCTGACCTTAGAATAGTAATTCGCTAATTTCCCGTATCATGGTACAGGCCTATTTCCTAGGTTGCTCGGTTTAATGAGTCATACGGTGGTATTCTTCGGTGCGTTGACGCCTTTGAAGACTCTACCTAGTATTTTAAAGTCTATGTGGAATTGACACTAGTTCCCACTGCGCACAGACAATCAAGCGGAAGGGTCGTTTTCGCCCTATTAGCCTTTGCAACGATGTAGATGGAGTGCCACTTCCGCATTCCTTAATATCTTCAATCACAACCACCAAAGAGGATTTTGATCCCAATTTAGTGGTGAAAATGTCTGTCTCAACCTCCCTCCATCCGCCGCCCAAATTCATCGGTAGTTGACAGCCATTTAGTCGGAATATTCCCATTTCATGCCCCTGACTTGATATCTCACATTGAGTGCTGTTTTTTCCCAACTTTGTATTCTAGAGGTACTGCATCTACCGGCACTCAAAGTACTTCCTTCGTTTCACGGTTTCCGACTGACCTTCCCTCGTCCAGTGTATTATTGACTTGGTTATCATGTAAATCCTGGAATTTAAATTTTGCCTAGGATTGACTGTCCCACTGTAATAAACGCATTTTGGCTTGTTTTCGCTCGTTCCAGATCGGTGCGTTTTGATATCAAGCAAGCAGCGAGAAAGAGGACTGACTGCTTCTTGGCTTCTTTTTTTATGTGGCTCGCTTAGACTACTAAAAATAATTCCGAGTGAAAAGCAGGAAATGTGTGCTCGTTAGCTTGTCTGCCGGCCACCCGTCGCGCCCATGGGTGATGGGTAGTAAAACAGCCCTTGGTAGGAGCAGTTGTGGACTGAAGTACAATAACCTGAATCCCACATGAAATGTTGCTGCTAATTTTTCCTTGCCGTCGCCACCAAAGCACTAGAGAAAACCATGAACAAACAACCCAGGCGGACCCTCATCCGTATCGACTACTCCCAAGACCCTCAGTAAAAGCGTAGAAGGCCGGACAAATTTGGCAAGTATGGATTGTAACACGGGGAAATGCTGCTACACTCCAGTGTGAAGTAGTAGTAGTCGTTGGGGAGATGTCATTCTCCAATTCTGCGGCCTGCCTCCACTGTTTCTCTGAAGAAGGACTCGTTCTAGAAGGAAATAACTGAAGCATGGTCACTTACTTGCTGGAAGGTCTCAGCCGGCACAAAAGGGCACGCCTCAATGGATAGTTTTGGCAGATGTAAATTTGAGAGAGATGCCTCGCAGGGAATCCCCGTAGAAGGAAACTAAGGGGCAAAACATAAACGGAGAAGGTAACACTTGCTAGCTCCGACTCAGTGGCTTCCAAATGTTTCCGGTATAGTTCAACAGCCCTTTGAGTTCCCTCGCGCCGCACTACGACCAGTCGTTCAAGCACAGAGTTTAGCGTCTCCTCCGCCATCTGACAAAAGGAGTGCGAAGGGAAATAGCAAAGTCTGGTGACTAGGCTAGAATTGCCTAAACGTGCAGAACCGAGTGCCCTTTGATGTCCTGTTCCCTAGTCTGGGTGGCCTTCGCCGTATATAAATGCAGTCGGCTTACCGACAGTTGACTGTTGGCATCGCTTAGAATCATTCGGGGCAGGATAGAAGACGTACGTTATCTATGTGGTCGGAGCTAGTGGACAGCGGGCAGATGTACGTGGGCATGGCTACTAATTTTTGATGAAAGCGATTCTATATCGTGGCAAAATCTCTTGGGAACGATTATTATAAATTGGAGGTGGGTATGACATGAGTCAGGATCGAGAAAACTCGCAAGGTGGACATCGCTAGAAATAATGTTCATGAACAATTATGCGCGAGCCTTTGTCAAACCGGGTTAGGAGCGGAGTCAATGAGGGAGGAAAGTCTAAAAAAGTTTCGAAATTTCCCTACGCGATACGCCTTTGTATATGTGTACCCCACTGGTGACTGAATAAACTGCTGATGGCGTGGTATGCGAGGGAAGTGGATGTGCATGTTTTGGATGTCCGTCAAACAGGGTTACGTGTATCAGTACCCCACAGCCATTCTTACTGATACCAAAGCTATTGTCCAAGCAGTTAGTAAGCTCTAAAAGTGACGATAATCAAAGAGAAACTGCACAGATTATGACTGGCAAACAAAGTGACGGTCCAGCGTGACGTCAGTTACTACGTGGCGTAGCCCGGGAAGACCGTGGAGGAAGGCGACTGTCGTTTTTGGCCAATTTTTTGACTACATAGGAGATGATTCCGCGGAGTATCTGCGTTGGTACAAACTCTATCCCAACGCCAAAATGTACACGGCACAAACGGAGGAGGGGCTACTAGAAGAGAAATTATTCGGGGATTCAGGGACGTGATGGCGTTCTTTGCGACCAGGAATGGAAAACGTCAAAGCGCCCTAAACGGGATAAGGATATGTACCCGGCAGAAGTTAGAGAGCATAGCCGTGGGGTCAAACTGACTGTCCGAGGGAAGTTAAACAGGCAGGCGAACGGCAACTTCTTCGAGGCACAGATACGGAGCAATGATGAGGTCGACAGTATGTTCTACGTACCCCATGACTCCGCCTTGATTAGAAAGTCCGCAAGGAAAAACCACTTGTACTGAGATTGGACAGATCGCTATGAAAGGCTCAGCTGCCAAACACTGGTAAGGATATGCGGCTCAGACAGCCACCTGGGGTACTCTTGGCAAGTCCACGTATCATTGGCTGGGAGAATTTGCTAAACCCGTCATTTGGTCCACTGACTAGGCTACACGTCTTAACAAGGTTCGCAGCTTGGCTCCCAGTGTGGTGTTGAGTAGGAAGTTAAATCTGATTAGATATTGCTCTTAACTCAAATTCCGAAGGAAGTGTTCAAACTTAGTCACTTGGCTCTATGCTCTTAAAAGCCTCGATGTTTCGAATGCGGTGCGGTGACAGCTGATAAAAAGTGTACGGGGTGAGGCTGAACGAACGTTGGGTCGAACGTTTCACGGTCGTTACCGATCATCACTACGTCAGAGGCCATATCAGGTGAGGTATATAAACATGCTAAGTAGGCGTTTGACCCTCACTGTTGTGGTTAGGATCTCACTTGGTTCCATTCTGTCCGCCCGCCAGCTTGCTACTGACGACAACGAACGTTGTGTCATAGGACACATAGCACATGTAACACATAATCAGCTCACTAGGAGTGCAACAGGCCAGATGCAGAGAGCTGTTTCATGGTCATTACCGATCACCAGTACGTCGCAGGCCATATTAAGCGAGGTATATAAACATGTCAAGTAGGCGCTTGGTCAAATAGGCCAAAAATGCGATAGTTAAGACTTTAGAAGACATAGCGGACGAACAAAACCTTTCATGGTGACCTCCAGTAAATTGTCAAAAGTAATTTAAATCGTTAGTGGCAGGGTTCATTAACACTCACAGGATTAGACGCTAAAGTGGAAGAGGCAAATTTCATTTACAAGAAAACTCCTTTCGAAGGAGTTAACTGACAACCTATACTGTGTCGAATTCAACTGTTTTCACAGAAAATTCAAGTTGTCAAACACGCGTAATTCTTCATCAGGGCAATACGGTTACATGGAGGATTGAAAATGTACAAAATTAACAGTGCTTAGTTGTCTCAAGGGCTATGAAGTCAGTAACACGCATGACAAGGTCGGCGGGTTCTGGTCTTCGGGGCTAGGGGAAGGGGTAAGAGAGACTTTGGGTGATGCTCTTGGGCTGAGTACACGGAGTACACATAACTATAATTAGGGATTTGAGGCGGCATGTCGTCATCATCTGAGATTGGCGTTGGCCACGGTAGAGAGAGCGCTTGTGTCAGCGTTTTCTGACAGCACAGCACTGGATTCGCTAGCCGTATAGCCACTGCCTCAGCCGTTGCTAGCATCCGTGGGCGTATGTCTTTAGAGAAGCTTGTTGCTGTCTGGTAGACAATCTGAAATGCTTCTTTGGCATCGACTCGGTGATCCGTATCGACCAAATGTGCGAGAATGGAACTCGAAATCGACCGGGTCTCACCTATGTCTAACCAGGCGGGCATATGTTCACGCACCCCCTTTACCAGGCGTCTCGTTGTATGGCCAATATATCCCGCTTCACAGGAGCAAGTGAATGAGTAAATGCACATTGATGTGGCCTCCAACGGTAGTCTGTCTTTACCTTCCAAACGTAGGAAGGGAAAGTTTGTGAAGCATGCGCGTAAATTCGCCGCGGAGAATGCTCTCGTGATGGCGGTAGTTAAGCGTCGTCTGCCTAGTTCGCTCGCTGCGTCCCCTGCAAGAGGCAGTCTTATGAATACATCTTTTTCTTCTTCAGTTGCAACAGCAGGCTTTGCAGTGAGTTCCCCAATATTTCGGAGGATACCCAGAGGTATTCGGAGGTATCCGTTCTCGCGAAGTGTGTTCCACAGCTGTTGGAGTTCTGCTTCGATAACTCGAGGTGAGCAGATGTGCTTCACTCTAGCCGCCAATCCCTGGACCAAATTTCGTTTAATGTTTAGGGTCACAAAACCGTGAAAATTAATGTACTGTCCCGTTTAGGTTCTCTTTCGGAACACCCTGTGCTGCATAGACCCATCCTCTAGCCTGTGCAAAATGACATTGAGAAACGCTATTTCGTTATCTACCTCGGATTCTGTAGTAAACTTTAGCGAGGGGTGCACACTGTTGAACTTCTGAACAAGGTCCTCGGTATCGGTGGTATCATCCGCCATGAAGATTGGAGTAAGAGGGATGGATGACACGGTGGTACCCTCGGGCTCTACTCCGCACCACTGTGTCAACCATCCGTCGTACTCTAATTTTTCCTTGAAATCAACCGCCTGTAACGAAAGGGAAGATTTTTCGGCCTGACTACGTCGCTCTTAGTTCCACTTTGGTGTGTTTCCCGCCGAAGACCAAAGCATGGCAATTTTGTACTGTCTGACGGTCAGCCAGCCAGATAAGGCGTTGTACGCCGGATTATATGCGGAAACCTCTCTTGACTAATCTTAATCAAGGATTTTACCATATCTTTATAGTCCCATTACCGTGTCTATTATCATGACATCTCAATTAACTGTTTTCCGCATAATCCCACAGCTGCCACTAATGCCATATCCAGGTTCTTCTTGTCCTCGACAGGCTTTAAATCATCGATTCCTTCAGGACCCCTCACTCGACGCCCAACTGGGAAAGGTTCTCCGACGGACTGACCACGTGACTCGGTAGACACAATGACACAGTATTCCAACAGTCAATTGTCAGCAGGGATGATATGGGGAACAGTTTATTAAAACGTAATTATAATCGACACGATAACAGGGTTATAGAGACATGGCGAAATCCTTGGTTAGACTTGGTCATGGGGGGTTTCTCTAACGCTATAATCTAGGTCAATCTATGGCTGAGCTAAAGCGAAAGTAGGGCTGGAGACTGCAGTCAGAGACCGTATCCATGCCTAGGTATGGATACAGGAGCTCCTGTAGCATATGCTAATGGGATGGGATGCGGTCTCCGACAGCTGATTATGAAAGTACAGAAAACACTCAGTCCGTCCTATCTTTTCTTTAACCGCAACAAAACACTTTTGTAAAAGGATAGAAAGAGATTAGTCCGCTCCTGCTTTATCACAGTACAACAGCAGGTTTCAAGCGTTATTTTCGCCTTTTCCGCCTGGCTTTCAGTCTATTAAAAACGGTTAGCCACGAAATACTTTCCATTTACTTTATGTTTCTTTTCAGGTATACAGTCACGTTTTGTCTAAGTTTGTCTTTCTTTTCTTTCGTTGTGGTCGACGATGGTAAGTACCACACATACTTGGTCCGACAAAGAACTAAGGAGTATTTCGCTGACCATTGATTCTGTTGACTGAATCGTCATACACGTTCCGCGGTATATAGTGGGAGTTAAAGGCTTATGAAATCTGTATTGAGGAAGATGGGTAGAGTGGATACATCAATTGAGGGAATAACGTCACCTATACATCCGCTCCGTCTGGTGCAAGAGATGGTCATGACATGCCCAGTAGACTACCGGCTGTGAATGCAATGCAAAGAACGACAGTAGGGGGATGATTGTGGGAATGTGTCGACGTTAGAGAGGATGTGAAAGACGAGCGAGAGTGGAGGAGATGTTGGCGGTAGGCGGAGGGTACACCGACCACCTTCGGCGACGTGCGGTCACACCATTCCCATCCTGTGTAGCTGCGGAGATGTCTTCAATCCAACTGAACTACACACTGAGATTCTTGAGGCGCTGCACTACGGCATCATTGAGTACATGTTATCAGCTCTTTTATTAATTGCCTTTTTGGATATTTGCAATATTACGATATGATTAACCGCATATAGATAAAACAATAATAAACAAAACTTTTTGATTTTTGATCCCCCACTTTTTCCGTTTTGCATCTCATAGACATTTTTCGGTTTTACATTTTGTGGACACTACTTAAAGATGTATGCGGTTGTTGAGTTTGTGAATGATAAATCTGTGGCGGCCGTGCCGAAGTGTTGGTTCCACAGCGAAGACTGTGTGATGTGGGTTAAGAACCACAAGCTACGTGACCGTCTACTTGTGAATAACGAAAGGCCTCCAGAAGGCACAAAGATTTACCCGGTCCGTATGCTGAAGAATGACCTCTCACTCGACAGAGCGCTTCAGCTGGAAAAAAGGCTGTAGACACTGACGATCTTTCCCACTCAGAGCCTACCGAATTAGGCCGAGGGATGAGGAAAAAGTAAGTGTTTGCTTTTCATTAATTTATCTTTGTAGGTTTGTCCGCCAGCTCACCTCAGACGACGACGAGGATGATGATGATGAAGAAGAAGTAATAGCTGCGCAAAGTCCGAGACAAGATAATCAATTAACTGCCTGGCCCACGCCGCCACGCATTCTCCAGTAAGCATCCGTGTATATTACGCCAACTTTTAGACCACGCAATAGCTCGGAAAATACACCTTGGTGGAGAGACTCCAGCCAACCTACGCCACCAAGGGCTAATCAGTACGCCGTTTAAAGTTTACTTAAAGTTTACTTAAGGCCGCCCCGGGAACCCAGCACGACCGCGTTTGACAAACGGTTATCACAGGTGCAGCACGATGGTGAATGCGTCCGGTAAGACTGTTCTGACTCTTGATGACATGCGAGTAGAAAGAAAGTTGATTACGTTGCTGAGGAACTCGTCGAACTACGGGCTGACATAACGCAGGTTAAGGCTACAATGGCCGAAATTTTAAAGGCCATTCAGGAATTACGTCTGCCAGCTGAAGCGAGGCCTCCTTCACTGAAGTTGCCTCTGTGTACGAAGGAGGCTTACAAGGCTTTCGTCAGTGAGCTTGAGAAGAATGCTAGTTTCGCTCAAGACGCGGTATGTACATATACTGACGCTTCTTTATTTGAATGGATTGTAGATTAAACGTCTGGCGATTACAGACGGGCGAAACGAGAAAGAGTTTGTCAGAAATCTACTGACCACGCTACTCGGCCACCCCCTATGCCTCAGTTTCTGCTGGGGCGGAGCAAGAGATAAGCAGGCCAAGGAGTTTTTTTTTTCACCCCTCAATCATCATGTTTCTCAATGGACTTCTAATTCAGAAACTAGGAATTGCATTTTGTAAAGATTCAGCCCACCTCGTCTAAAACTCGCATGCAAATTTATTTTAACTTGCTTTGATGGGACCCCGACGGGTCTTTAATAAAAATTATCTATCTATCTATCTTCGTCGGCAGCCCCCTTTATGGCCTTGTTATTGGTAGGATATTTATTTTTAAGACTACTTGTTCAGCTGCAATTCGTGAACACGCCGCCTTCTCAAATTGCACCGTTGACACAATTCGCAAGAGTACAATAGATTGGTTCCACGGCGCGCGTGACAGATACGGTGGCCGATCAAAGCGGAGAGACAATACCACTGCAAATACCACGGTAAATTAATTGACTTGAGTCTTTATAAGCCACTTTCAGCTTCCCGTCAGCTACAGCTCAGCCGAAGAATATATGATACAATCTACTTCCGAGGACACTGTAAGTGAGCGTTTCTTTATGTTTATTAAACCTGCATTTATTCGAGCCTATCAACTTCAAACTACTTAGATCATAAAATATACTACTAAAATGCCTTATTTCAATAGTATGTTTTTTGACAATTTAATTAATAGGACGCTGTGCTTTATTTTATTGTAGATACCCGCCACCGACATGGACGGATTACCAAATATGTCCCTTGAGGAAACATGACAGTTTGTACATATCAAATTTTCATCTTAATCAATCAATAAATTTTCTTTAACCAGTAAATTGCGTTCAAGTGTGCTGATGGATATGGTTCGTTGGGGGATTTGCAATCACGCGTGAAGGTCCGCTAACGGTCGCGGGAGATATTGGCTTTGGGAAGGCGAGCCGGAATGAAACATGACATATTTGGCGAAATGGGGTTCGCTAGAAGGTAACAAGGGATAAAATAGGACAGATACCGGGGAAAATCTGTCTAGGAAAAGGGTGATCAGGATTATAACGCGAGTAATTAGACGTTAATGGATCGGTATTACGGTCAGACAGTCTAATATGGCCGTGGGTGGGGGCAAAAAACGATAACTTTAAGGCGTCCCCCTGCGCATTTTTTTTGTCGATGAGGGGGCCAGAGGGGGCCACATCGGGGATTTGCCCCGCCATAGCCCCCTCTGGCCCCGCCATAGCCCCCTCATGAGGCGGGGCCATGAGGGGGCCAGAGGGGGCTGGTGCTGGCAGGGCGTCCTTCCATTCCAATTTTTGTATTGCCCGACACCCAATTATTATTCCTTTTTTATTTCGTTATTTTGTCTCTCGAAAGTGTTGCTGTCCTACCATTTGATGTGTGACGTGAATGTTGGCCTTAACGAAGCTTTGCAGTTCGTTACATATAGCCCCCCCCCCTATTTTGTTATTTGTTCTTTCTCTTGACCATTTCGAATTCGGTTTGAAATTTCGACCTCCGAGGGATTTGCTTTTTCCGGGATTTCTGCCTACTGGACGCTCTGCGGGCCCATTTGGATTAAGAAATTGAAGCGTAATCAGCAATTCCTCGAACGATCCACCCAGAACTCCGACAGAACTTTCTTTGGGACGACCATACTCCTTCGTATCAATTCTCTGCCAACAGCACCGCGGGGTTCTCCAGATCCAGAAGCGGCTGAGTCGTTTGATATTTACTTCATAGTTTTGGCTTGGTTAAAAAGCTTCTCCTACACCTTTAAATACTTCGCCCATACCTAGAATCCCTTGCGTATCGTTTGAATTAATAATGGGAGTCGACAAAACACCATCAGGACAGTGCGAAAAACTCGCCCGCAAGTGGGATTCGAACCCATGTCCAGTCGTACGGTGACCAGCGACATGACCGCTAGACTATCGGCGCACGCCCGGCCGGCTGAAATAAATAAGGAGGTAAACATTATTCGTAGTACAAACGACACTATGTATGAAGGAAAGTCAATTGAGAAGGCCTTGCCACCTAGGATTAGCGCTCGCTCTCTTTATAGTTGCAACCAGGGGCCCGCAAAGCGTGCTAAAAGCGTTATCACAGCAAAACCTGTTAGTTACGAGGACGAGCCATGCACTGGATGCTCATTTATTCTGCTGAAAGTCCAAAAACTCAAAAAAGAGTTGACTGCTTTAAGGGAACTCGTGCAAGCGAACTATAGTGTGCAAAACGCGGTGAATAGCGCTAAAGTTAGCAAGAAAAAGGGAAAGAGCAAAACTCTAAAACAGCCAAAGAACAAAGCATGTGGAAAACCCCTGTGCAAGAGCGCCGATACCCAGGACGATGGGAAAATAGCAACGGAGTCTCTTGTTTCTATGGGAGACAACCCAAGCGAGCCATCAACTTCTCTCAGCCATTCCGCGTGTTCAACAGGACCCTCAGTTGGAAGTGAGGAAACAAGCTCATGGCAAGATGGAAAGGGTAAGCGCCACAGCGGGAGTATAGAACCCCAGACGACTCCGGTGGATCTTCTGAGACCTTCAGCTGACAAGGCCACCGGAAACAGATAAAATAAACCCCTTGATCGTCAGCACTGCGTAGTCGTCCAGGGTCTATCCGAGTCGAATGCTCCTACCCCGAAGGAGAGGATCTCCGCTGACCTTCATATGCTTCAACACCTACTGAACGAAATGCTTAATTCGAATGAAAAGATAACCATTCGCGCAGCCTTCAGGATCGGAAAGAAGGTGAGCGAACAATCAGAAACTGTGCGGCCACGACCTCTGAAAATTGTTTTGAACAGTAAAGAGGAAGCTAGCTTACTTCTGTCCAGGAAAAGCAGCCTCCGAAACTTTCACAAGGAAGTTTTTTTTCAGCGGACTATTCTCCAGCGGAACGTCTGAAACGCCGCGAATTGGTAACGGAGTTGAAGAGGAGACTTGCAGCGGGAGAGAGCAACTTGGCCATTTTCAGGGGACGAGTAATACTGAGGAACACGATGTTGTTTTGGAACCAGCCAGTCATCATGATGGCGGCAGCAACATAATATTAGCAAACCCGAGACAAACCGAACGAAGCAATGTCGAATGTTGCAAACTAAAATTCTTTTACACCAATGCTCAGAGTCTGTTTTCCAAGCTTGACGAACTGAGAATACAGGTAGCCGATACTCTTCCCGATGTTATAGCAATAACAGAAACGTGGCTGTCAGAGGACGTTGGCGATTGCGAGGTAGCATTAACAGGATACCATTTGTTTAGGAGAGACAGGAGAGGCCGCGGGGGTGGAGGAGTTGCCATGTATGTCAAGAGCAACTTAGCAGTGTGCGAGAGGACCGACAAGATTTCTAACGACACAGAGGCAATTTGGCTGAGTATAAAGGCGCGGGGATCTCAGTCCCTCGAAGTCTTAACTATCTACCGGCCCCCGCAGGCGGATCCCGACCCAGATACTTGTCTACTAAAAAGCATTAAAGGAGATCGCCAGCCGACCAGGCGTTGTTATCATGGGGGATTTTAATGCACCATGCATTCAATGGAGCGATATGCATGCGAAATGCTCGATGAATACCTTCGATTACCATCTACTAAAGACAACTCTAGAAGCTCTACTCACGCAACATGTCCTGTTTCCAACTAGAGCTCGTGGAGGTCAACAGGCCAGTTGTCTGGACCTCGTTTTTACCAAAGAGCCTGACAGTATAGACGAGGTGTACTACCTACCCCCGCTCGGTCGAAGTGATCATGCAGTGCTTTTATGCGAGTACTTGCTGTATTCTGAACCGTGTACAAAAGAAAATACGAGGCCAAATATATGGAAAGGGGACTTTCGCCAAATGAGAGCTGAGGCATCACAAATAGACTGGGATGTTCTCTTCTCCGGAAACGTTAACGAGGACTGGAATTCATTCAAGGATCGTTTACTGCATCTAATGAAAAACCACTGTCCCTTATCAAAGCCTAGGACATCCAACCGCCCTCAGTGGCTTACACGAGAACTCAAAAGGGAGATCAACAAGAAAGGTAGGTTATGGAAAAAATTTCGCGAGAACAACAATGCAGCGTTTGCAGAATACAAAATTCAAAGAAATAAGGTGAAAAGCCTGATTTTCAGGAGGCGACGGGATTTTGAGAGTAATTTGCTCCACCGAGCCGTTAAAAATCCGAAATTGCTCTACAGCTATTTGCGGAAAAGCACACGTAACAGGAATCCCATTCCTGTTATGAGGGGTGATGACGGCTTGGAGATATCGAACAGCACAAATAAGGCTGAGCACTTTTCTCAATTTTTCCGATCCGTTTTCACAAGAGAAGCGGACTTTACCCCTTCTAATTCTGAGAACATGAGAGATCCCACTATCGAAAATATTGTGTTTCGAGAAGAAGCGATTTTGGAAGAACTGAAAAGCTTGAGGGAATGTAAATCTCCCGGTCCGGACGAGATCCCAGCAAAGCTGCTCTTTGAGCTTGCCCAACAGCTGGCCAAGCCACTATCCTTTCTGTGCCAAAAATCGTTTGATGCTGGAATTCTTCCCACGGACTGGAAGACGGCCCACATTACACCCCTTTACAAAAGCGGTAGTCGTGCCCTGGCGACAAACTACAGACCCGTCAGTCTGACATCAATCTGCTGCAAAGTGATGGAGAAAACCATCGAAAAGGAGTTGATGGCTTACTTGGAAACCCACAACCTCTTGTCCAATACACAATATGGTTTCCGTAGGGAAAGATCATGTGTTACGAACTTGCTATACACATTGCAAAGTTGGACACGAGCACTGGACGCAAAACACATCGTGCATGTTGCCTATATTGATTTTCGGAAGGCGTTTGACAGTGTTCCGCACCAGCGTCTCCTACACAAGTTGAGAATTATGGGCATCGGTGGCAAACTTCTCAAATGGATCGAAAACTTCCTTGTCGGCCGCTCTTAAATTGTCTGCGTAGAACAACAGCAATCAAGGTGCACATTCATAGAGAGTGGGGTCCCACAAGGCTCGGTGCTCGGACCAACTCTCTTTCTCTTGTTCATCAATGATTGCGTAGATGGGTTGGACTGTGATTGTGCCATGTTTGCGGATGACATAAAAATCTGGAAAGTCATCCAGAATGCTGCCGATGAGACCAACTTCCAAGAAAATCTTTGTCGGTTGGACGAGTGGTCCCGCAGATGGCTCTTGTCCTTCAATTTGAACAAATGCACCATTCTGCGCCTCGGAAATCAGAGCCCTAGTACGCGGCAATACCATCTGAATGGAATGCCACTCCGAGAAGCAGAAACTCAGAAAGATCTCGGAGTTTGGGTTGCGGACAGCCAAAAGCCTTCTACACAATGCTGTAAGGCGACCAAGGCCGCAACGTCAATGCTATATGCCATCAAGCGGGCATTCGTAGTTTTCGATGAAGACTGCTTCACCAAAGTCTTCGGCACGTTTATAAGGCCCCATCTCGAATATGCAATTCAGGCCTGGAGACCGTGGACGCGCCAGGATTACGATCTGCTCGAAAGGGTGCAGAGGCGAGCCACAAAATTAGTAAGAGGTCAAAGTGCACTGCCATACGAGATCCGCTTAACTAACCTTAATCTCTATCCTCTGAGTTATAGGCAGTTGCGCGGAGACATGATACAAACTTTCCGTATCGTGCGCGGCTTGGATTGTGCCCTTCGGTGCGATGACTTTTTCCAACTCGCCACCACAACTCACCTCCGGGGACATCCCTTCAAGCTACGTGTGCCACACGGTAGACTGAATGTGAGAAAATATTTCTTCTCCAACCGTGTCGTGGAACCGTGGAATAACCTGCCCGAGACGGTTGTTATGTCTCAATCTGTGGAGACATTTAAATGTCGCCTTGACAGATATATGCTGCAGCAACAAGCGGACTATGTGACTTTTTAACCATGTGACTAGTGACATATGTGAATCAATGTAGGCATTCACTTAATGCTGTAATTTCTTCACATTTTTGCTTGTTTATCGATTTTTTATGTACAAATAGGGAGTTCAAAGGCGTAAGCCTATTTCCCTTAAATACACTGACTGACTGACTGACCAGTCTCTTATAAACTCGAACACAGTCTCTGCAATTGCTATCAGTGCCATCGGCACTGAGAGATTCTCCTTATCCAGGAAAGACTCAGTCATTAGTCTCATACTGTTGGTTTGGTTAAAAATCCGCATCATACTTTTAAAAACGTGCGAAATTTATTTACTCTATGATGGTAGTCGGACAAATGCCTCTGGATCATTGTGCAGAATGTCCGCCCCAGGCCAGAATTGAACGTTAGCAAGCGATAGGCATGGCAAGTGTCCTTACACTGGACTAGTATCACGTGGCGTTCGCGTCAAAACCATTGGTGGACCATGGACTACACGTAGTAATAGTGGCAGCAGTGTCAGGTGTCCTGCTACCAGACCAATGCTGCCAAACGGGCAAAAAGTTTGATGACTTTAACGAATGTCACATACAACGGCGAAACCTTACAACATACTTCGGGCTCTTTCAGAAATTCCCGAAGATAGAAAAGGAATTAAGAGGCCTAAAGGTGGACTTACATCAGTTAAAGTATCTTACACTCCACTTACATGAGGAGAAGAAGTCGACAAAGTCAACAATCCAGAAAACAAATAAATAACATACGCAAACACGGCTATTTCAACTGTATACAACGTTGAAAATGAAGACTGCTTTTTCGTGGGGTAAGCACCACAGGAAGCCAGTCTCTTAAGCAAGAAAAATACAACTAAATGGGACCTTAGAGAACAACTAAACGTCGCAGATCAACACCACGTACCTCTGTGCGGTCCAAAGAATCAAAAGCCGCTTATGTACATACAGACCAGCGGAAGAAGACTGCCATGAGACCTGCGAAATTCCGTCCGCAGCTCTCTGTTATGCCGCGCAAGAGAACGCCCTGTGGGCGAAAATCAAACAGAAAATTAAAGGGGAGAATTCGAATGAGACAGAGGCTGGCCTTTTAGACGAACAACGTGGTAAGGTTCACGGATTCGGGTTCAGCCATCCCAGTAGCCATTTCATTTGGAGCCAGCGAACAAGTGAACCAGAAACGAATGCTTGGTCAGCAAAAGCATGGGAGACAAGTCACGCAATAGATTCAGTTGTAAGCAAAATTTAGTTATAAAAGGACTCCCAGAATCAGCATTAACAATTCCAAGGGAGAGACTTAAGCACAACTTAGACCTTATTTAATTTCAGTTCAGTTCGGTTTGCGAAAGCTTCTTTAAGATACGGTGAGTCAAATAACATTCGTAAAGTCTTAGAATACCGGAAGTTCGGCAAACGCTCGGTCCAAATTCTCAGGGAAAACCTTTTAAAATCGTTTTGGAAACTGAAGCAGAGATACAGCTCCAGCTACAGAGGAAATTATCTTAGCGGGGTCTGCATTCCGAAGTTATTTCTGCCCGATTTCAAGTCAGAAATCGGTTGAAAATGAGACAGCTAATAATGTAGCCGGAAAAGCAGAGGAGCAACGGCAAAGTACGCCTAAAATAACGAACAGACAAACAGTTCAAGTCAAAAGAACATTTCTTTTTCCGAATGCAGTTACTCTAACAGCCTAGCCAGTATATACGAACCAACTTTTGACGCTACGTTGACTACCAGTGATCGCTGTCTAGAAACCCACTACACTAGCTGTCATAATCTCTTCAACAGGCTGGATGTACTCGAATAACTGTCTTCTGAACAGAAAGTTCACGTAGTTTTTTTTTTATCAAAGTCTTGGTTCATCGACTAAAGAGGTAGCGACCGAGTCAGTATTGAAGGCTATCAAACGGCCCGTTGTGACAGATTTTGGCGCAGAGGAGGAGGCGTAGCGATTTTGATACCAAACGAGATTTTGTGCCGTCAGCGAGAAATTTCTGTTGTGCTACGGCGAAATTCTGAAATAATTTCGTGCAAGATTAGTACCAAACAATTACGAAATTTGGCCCTTGCGTTGTCTATCGACTTCCAAAACTCGAGTGAAAACGCCGACACGGAACTAGTTTGTGAGCCGGGGTTGCTACGCAAGCAGAGTTTTTTACTCCTACTGGTAAAGTTTAACACTCCAGGAAAAGACCGAAAAATTCTGTAATAAACGCCCCATCTAAGCCATTCGATCATAAACTATTAAAATTTTCTGTAGACGAATACCTCATTCAAAATATTAAATTCGGAACAAGACTGGCAGATGGATAACGATCTAGCTGTTTAGATCTCATTTTCAGTACAGAAGTAGGAGTCATAATGTAAAGGAATGCACAAGCTCTACTCGGTTAAAGTGGCAGTATTGCTTTTACCTGAGTGCACTCTTTCATATCGAACCCACAACCACAGTTTAAGAGGCGGAAAAATATTTGGAAGGGTGATTTTAACGCAGTGAGTCACGCTATCTCGAAAGAAACCGTGGTCAATTGACCTGAAAAATTTAGAAGACATCTGGCAGTACTTTCGCGGGAATTTAGAGCGTTTAATTTAATCTCATTGTGCTGTAAAAATCATTAAACAATGTGTTCTACCGCCGTGGGGCACTCCGATCACAAAAAAATCATGAACAAGAAAGAGAGGTTGTGGAGAATGTACTCACATATCTAAGATCCATACTGTTATTCGAATACAAGGCACAACGTAATAATTGCTGCAAAGAAGAGCACGTTGTTAAAACTGGCGACAGAATTCATTACATGCCTCAAACAATTTTATGGGTACATCGCAGTAGGAGAAAACACAAGGAAGAACTTGAGTGTCAGAGGGGTAGACTCGGAAACACATTGGTTGAGGGGTCGCAAAAAAATGCAATTCGTAAATTAATAAAATAAATAATTTAATGGGAAGACCCTTGGGGTCCCAAGACAGCAAGTAAATATAAATTTTCAAGTAAATTTTAGGAAAAAACTCCTTGCGAAAAAAAACTAGACAGGCATGAATGGGGAAAATTTTCAGGAGAAAAAACCGCCGCTCATGAAAGGGAAGAACACCCGGGTCGAACGGGACTGTATAAGGGGTTCAGAACGTACATCGTCAAGACAGAGCTGTCTAAACCGGATGAAAGTATCCGCCTCGAAGTGGCAAGAGAGAGGAACCTAGATGCGATCGGACACAGTCCGCTTAGAGACCAGCTGAGAATGGGACATTAAACACTAGGTTGGCCATCAGAGCGTTGAGGTGAGAAAGCGACCCTGAGACCTCTTCGCTGACCAACCAAACTAGTAACACATGGCGAAGGCAGAGGGTTCATACCATGATCGTCAACAGACAATTTGGGGTCGAAATGGGGAGTTGGCATCAAAATCCGTGGAAAACATCGATTGCGGGTGAGAGCCCCAAATCGCCGGAGCCAATGTGGAATTCGGGTGAGTGTCCGCGATAGGCGAAACTGAGGCGGCTTAGACCGTGCACGCCAACCTATTCACGCTACTTCTTTGAGAGAATTTGTCGGGAAGGGTATCGCATTCAGTGAGGGGCACGATGCATGAACTGAAAAATCAAAAAATTAACATTTCTGATGAGGGATCCTAGGAAGCGAAACTACACAAAAAAGGAAATGTGAGCGGGCACGGAGGTTTAGTGGCGGCGACCTACATTCCCGATGGCCCTTTATCAGTGCCAAAGAGAAAGTTGTCCGGAAGGGATGAGGAAAAGTTTAATCGAGTCAGTATTCAGATAAAAACGCAGCCGTCTCTTAATTTTATGTAGATTATCTGATGAGCTCACATGTGTTGGAAGGTTATTCAAGAGGAAAGTATACCTTGAGGCGTGAAAAGAGAGCGCTTAGATGTGAAGAAAGCTGGAGGAGGTATAATCAGGGTTGAGTTACGAAGATTGCATGGGCGACTAATAGGGGCAAGGGCTGAAATTCGAGAAAGATTTATAATTCAATATAATTCAGTATATATGAGGGATAGAGGCAGAGCCTTGGAAAACCCTATTTACAGATAGACGTATGAAAAAAAACATGCAGATATTTACATAGCAGTTATACCAGCCATTGATATCATGTAAATGTTTGACCATCAAACATAAGTTTATCTAGTCTTCTTTTGAATGTCTCGAAGTTTTCCGCTAAGACAACGGAGTTCGGCAATTTGTTCCATCCTTCAACCAGCCGGTGAGAGAAGAATTTGGCCCGCAAATCGAGTCTGACATGTTTCATCTTCAGTTTGTATGCGTGCCCTCGGAGATTTGTCGTCCGCGCCAGTTCGAAGAAGTCGTCAAACTGAAGAGCACAGTCTAGCCCTCGGACGATCCTGAAGGCCATGATCATGTCCCCTCTGTACTGTCTATAAGAACTACTATTAATGCGAAATAGGAGAAAGAAGCCTGCTTCTAGTCTTCGAATCCATGAAAATGTTAGGTTAGTCATCTGGCATCTACTTGAATAGGAAATATTTCGATGTGCCGTGCTTAAGAGTTTTCTGGTAAAATGTCTTTGAACATTTTCAATTTTTGAACGACTAGCCTCGTTCATCGAACCGCAGAATGGGCAAAACTACTCGAGAATGGGAAGTACAAACATTCGAAAAAATTCTAATTTAGTTTCAGGAAGGGAGAAATTGCGGGAATTAAGGCCACAAATCTGGGCAGCTTTGGCTGTAATTCTGTCGGCGTGTAGCCAGAGATCAAGATTGTTGGTGAAACTTAAACTTAAATTCTTGATGGTGGTACATTCAGTCACAGGTGTGCCTTGAATGACCACTGGTTGGGTAGCCTATCA